TGAATCAGAATCAGAAATACTTTAATAATCCTAGGGGGAAATTATTTTTGTTACAAGACTCCAAATATACAAACAACATATATTATAAAGCAACATCTATTAAGAACAAAATATATATATATATATATATATATATATAAAACTATAGCCTATATATATAAAAGATAGATAAAAGATCAAATTTACAGTTTAATATATATAATAATATATAATACTCTCAATGTACATAAATAAACAGGACAACAAGCTCAACAAGACAGACTATGTACACATATATACATTCATATATAAACATAAAGAACAACAATAATATTTGTAAACAGTAAACAATAATGCAAAGGATGCTGGAATAAATCTTTCTGTGCAGGTATTTTTATGTACACGAGGTAGGTGGATATATATATATACTGTGTGTTTGTATATGTGTGTATGTAATATTATTATCATATGGAAGTAGTAATGGGAGGATGTTTTTACTCATTGAATAATGTAAGAGAGTAGTAGTTGTAACATTAATGGAAATAATACTCATGACATTGATATGAATGTAATATTTATCATTAAAATAATGGTTGTGGTTCTTCTGTGGGAGCTCAGACCCCACTGACTCCCACGTAACTCGAACCCTGGATGGAAATATGGAGGAAAAGAAGACTTGATGTCTAAAGAGAGCTGATAGAAGCTCCTCAGACCTCCATTACAACAGAGTCTGTTCGGTCACCAGCAGTGAAAGAAAACCTCACGATGAAGAAGGAGGTTTGGTTTGCTGAGGAGCCTCCTGAAGCAGCAGACAGGTACCGTGGGCTAAAAACCCGGGTATGGGAGGACTTCGGGGAGACCTCAAGGAAGTTCTGGAAAACCATTTAACGGCTCACAGCTTTATGATGTCACGTGGTTTAACGTCTTCAGAGCGTCTTCCTGTCCAACGTCATTTAATTTTCTAAGAAAGAAACTAAACGTTTCTCTGCTTCTAATCTGCTTTGACTGATTGACTTCCTGTCTGGTGCCACAGTGTTGATGTAGCATGACATTCAATCTGGAAACTGTATTTTATTTTGAAAACTGATCAGAGTATCAATGCCGTTTCTGCGACTTCCTGCTGGTACGATCTACTCTGTGCTGTCCTGATGTTTCTGGAACATGCTGCAGCTCTTCTCAAATAGACCAACACATCCTCCGTGGAGTCTGAAGACTCGGGGAAGGGTCGCCCATATCCCTGGCAGAGGTCTCTGAGGTAGTTCTGGGTGTGGATGAGATTCACCCTGAAGGCTCTGGACATTGTTGGGATCTCCTGGCTGACACACATCAGCACCTGTGGAAAGGAGGTATCAGACCTCAGGTCCAGGAGGTCGGAGTAGAGCGGCTGAGGTGGTACGAACATCCAGAACTCGTTGGAGGGTTTATATTTGTCTTCTGGCCTGGGAACGCCTCAGGATCCCCCAGGAGGAGCTGGAAGATGTTGGAAAGAGGTTGAACATTGTTCGCGAACAATATCCTAATAACAACATTCGCATTCATTTGGAGCCGTGTTTGTACCTGATAAATGTAAGTCGAATATTCACTCTGCTTACTCTCACTACCAACAGTCCCTTTTTTTATTATATTTATTGTTGGGGGGCTTTTCTTGCCTTTAATTGATAGTGACAGCTGAAGAGTGACAGGAAAGGGGGGGAAAGAGAGAGGGGAAGACACGCAGCAAAGGACCACAGGTCAGAGTGGGACCCCTGGCCACTGCACCAGCAGCCCTGGTACATGGGGCCAGCTCTACCAGGGCGTCCCAACAACAGCGTCATTTGATCCATTGTTATTATTGTTACATTGATTAGTGCAGATTTTTGAAAACATCTTCATAAACCCGCATACATTTCCTCTGAAGACAAAGACATGATAAAAAGCACGCACAATTAGGGGTGAACGATTTGGGAAAATAATCTAATTGCGATTTTTTCCCCCCAATATTGCAATTGCGATTTAATATGCGATTTTTTTATTTATGTTTTTTGTTAATTCCTTTGTAATTTATGTTTTTTTTGTTACCTCTTTTTTCCCCAACAAAAACATAATGAATGAATGACCAACACGCCAATATTAATACATTTTAGTGTAAAAATGTTCTTTCCCATAGGACTGGGCCTAGTTTAGTTAGAATTAAAAAATTAAAAGATGATGACTTGAAATAAATGAACATTTTATTTAACTGCTTTACAGAAACATCTGTGGCTTTGCCACTGCTGCATTTTAAGTAATTAAAACAAAAGGCATGCATCTGTTGTAAACACTGTGCAAAATTTACAGTCTTAAGAAATTATTATTTTTTAAATTTTTATGTATCTTTACCTGCTCCCACCCAGTCAGTAACATTTCACTGCACTTTTTGTACAAGCTCCGGTATTGGCAGTCTGACTGAAGTATGTAACGGGGAGGGTTACTTGTTACCGTTTATCAAGGCGTATTTATCAATGGCCATGAAACCCAGGCTTCCACCCGTGCTGAGAGCGATCAATATTCTTTGGCTATGAACTCGGTTTATTGCCCGGGAGTGATTTCCCCATGGCCCGTTTTGAATTACGTTCAAAATGGAGTGACAACTTTCAAACATTTCGGTCAGTGGATCCCTGTCTTGAGGTATTTGGCTTTGTCTGGCGGCCACTGGTGCTCGGCATTTTTGGCCATTACCAACTGTCATACATGGATTTTTGGTATTTTTTGAAGTGGGCGATACAATGTTTTAGTTGTTACCCCGTGAAGTAGAACGGGAGCACCGGCATGCTCTGCACAACACCTGAACATCTGAACTCCTTTCTACTGACTCAAGTAATTCTCCTTTTTTTTCTTCTTCTATACTGCCAAAATGCACAAAAAAAGAGCAGGCAAATCCTCAGTGCCTCCATGTCAGGAACATTCTTCCATCCACATTAAACTAATCTAGTTAAGATGACACTCTTTGATCCTACTAACTGTAAAACCTGCCATCTGCTGCCTCCATACTCTGTCTACAACCACTTTAATAGCATGCCACGTTGCAGAGCTATTGGTCTTATGTTGTGTTTTTAAAAAGCCACACTGTCCCTTTTTTACGGTAAACAACTGTCAGCAGTGGTTGCCAGAACTTTACTGTAATAAATACAGTAGAACTTTATTTACTCTTGCAGTAAAATTACATTAATATGGTTGATTTTACAGTTAAAGTTCATTCTGTATTTTATTGTATAAATAAATAAAAATATAAATAATAAAGTTTTTACCATCAAAAGAAACAATTTTGACAAAAGAAAATGCTGTATAAAGATTTTTCTTGCCTGGAAGTATGACTGTGAGTCATGAGTATTTTACTGTTACAGATACTGTATCTAACCTATTTAGAGTTTACGGTCTTTTCCTGTGATGATTTGACAGTTTTTCACTGTAAAATCTACATCAACATTCAACATTTTTACAGTGCATGAGCAATCACTGTAAATACATTAGTAATAATCAATTACAGGCATTTCAAACCTAATAGAGGAAGATGTTTCAAACATTTCAACACTGTCTTTGTCTCAATAACTGACTATATTCACAAGTGTAGATTTCCTCCACGCTATAGCACAGAGACTACAATTGTCAAGGCTTTAAATGACATTTCTTTAAATACAGACTGGAGACATCTCACTTCTGGTCTTACTGGATCTTAGCACTGTGTTTAACATGGAGTATGTTGCTATACAGACCTGAGAACTGGCTTGGGCTCAAGTCATATATTAAATACAGACTAATTTGTTTCAATTAGTACACCGTCATTCCTAATTATTTACTGGCCACCTGGTGAAAAATACGTTTATTTACTGGCCAAACCCGCTTGGTGGGTGTTGATTTCAGACCCTTACAACTCTTACCAATAATATCATAACTTTTCTAAGCAATAACAGCTACTTTATTGGAAAGACAGAAATCCTCTTCTGTTATGAATGCGGTTCAATGAGTTGTTATTCTTTATTCCAAATGAAAAAACTTCTTTGATAAAGTTTGGGTTTCTCTTGTCAGATTTAATGATAGCACCTAATCCAGTTGCTGTGTTAAACAACTATTTGGGTGTTTTGTTTTTAATTAAAGTTTCCTCTTTAAAGTTTAAAGCTGCAGTAGGTAACTTTTATAAAATAATAACCCTTAGTTATATTTGCTGAAACATTCCCTATTATCAGCCAATATATTGTCCTAGGGGCTCTAGTAGCTGCTGAGTGGATACAAATGTTCCTGGAGGTTCGATTCAGAGGGCCCAAAATCTCTCATGATAAGTTTGCAAACAACTCTCATATCGACAATGCTGTATAAGTCCCATCAAACTGTTCAACAAGTGCACTGAACAAATCAGTGACTGAATGATTTACAGTTACAAACTGAATTATTTTTTTGTGTGGAGTTTTCTCTCTTGTGACACAGTACCAACATTATCTTTCATTTTCCCTCTCAGTCTGCCGCAGCGGGGCTGCAACAGTCTGAGATATTAAAGACAGCTGTGGAATGAGGAACTATTACTGAAGCATTTCACCCATCTGTTGTCAGTTTAGAGAAGGTTAAATAAGGGTCCAGAAACGCATGGAAAAACACTAGTGGTGTCTTAATAAGCCCATCACGTCTCCCATTAGTTTATCATGTTATGTGATTAAGAAAACTCTGGTTAGATTTCTGCTGGAGGGTCACACACTCCCTCAACTGGGCTTCAAATACTTCATTGCTGCCTTGAAAAAAACGGAATCTCGCCAGACTAGGTGATGATGGTAATGATTATTTTGGCAATGGTCAATGGTTTTCTCCGTTAATCATTTAGTTGTTTGGTCCTAGGAAAAAGGGTTTCCAAAAGCCCAAGTTCACATCCTCAAATGTCTTGTTTTGTCCACAACCCAAAGATATCCAGTTTACTGTCACAGAGGACTAAAGAAAGCAAAATATACTCACATTGGAGAAGCTGAAATCAGAGAATTTTGACTTTTCTTCTTAAAAAAATGACTCACAAAGATAAATCGATTATCAAAATAGTTGGTGATTCATTTAATAGCTGAAAACTAATCGTTGCAGTTCTAAACCAGACCAGTATGTACGGTCACCAGACAACCTACTTTAACCTGGATTCTCACAGTTTCTTATGTGTATGTAAAGTGTCAATGTCAAAAACCAGATCCAGGATGAAAAACTTCTATGGCCACTTCTCTCGTTAACACATTAGTCTCCGAACACGTTCCAGCTGTTGGACATGGGATATAAATTCACTATAACAGCATCTGGTGTGTCATTTTTCATGTGGTTGTCTTTATCAAACAGTTCATCCACTGAATCCAAAAGTGAAATGTGTATGTGTGTGTTAAGAGGCCTGAGGTTGGCAGTCTGGAGTCTCTGTGCTGATGTTTTCATAGTTTTTGTGCAAGTCCAGCGGTCCATAAAGGCTCTCCAGTACAGCCAGTACTCTGCTCTGGACTGAATCCACCTGCTCTACTGGGCAGTATTCGTCTAGGCTGGACCTGAAAACACACAAACACATTTATGCTCTCTTTCTCAAATCTTATTTCACTCGAGACTCTTACTGGTGTGGATCTTTAACTCTGTGTGGCTGTGTTATTGACCTGGACATTGTAACCAGTGTGGGTTTGGGCAGAGCCTTCAGAAACAGCTGTACGGCTGAGATGTGTCTGTCGATCTCCTCGTCAGTGCTGATGTGGTGTGGCAGCTCAACAGAGTCACAGGTTAACCCCGCCTGATGCACCTGAGAGAGGACGGATGGAGAGAGAAGGAGGAAGAGGAGGAGGAACAGGGTCGAAGCAGAAGAAATCAGAGGGGAGAGGAATGGTAAATGGTAAATGGACTGCACTTTGATAGCACCTTCCTCATTCACACACATTCATACAC